ACGGTAAATATTTGAAAAGGATTTTGTTTGTTTATTGTTTGCACACACACCTCGCACGGTGTTAGTCGGTGTTAGCTTTTTAATTATAAAATATTTAACCAAAAAACTCACACTCGAATGGCCCGGCTTCCAGTGTATGTGTGTGTATTTTCGCCCTCTATATAGTATAGTGTTATTTCCCTATTTTTTACGCTCCTTCGCTTTTTTCCAACTGGCTTCTCTGGTTTTTCGTGTATTAGTTTGGCCGCCTGGTTATCGCTCACTAAACACAACAATGGCCAAGGCAATTTAGCATTTTAAAAAATTCACAAACCAAAATTGATGACATACGGTGCACGAACAGCACAAAAAATGGCACCCCCTTCATTTTGCTTTTGCGAAAATAGCTTCATTGTCATTTTTATTAACTGGAAAGCAAAGGGCGCTTGCAAATTAAACAAATATTGCCAGAGAGCAGTCAAATGGCTGGTACCAGGATTTGTGCCAAGGCAAATAAGAGCTCCATCGTTGCTGGTTGCTGGTTGCTCAACGCTGTCGGCTGATTACTGCAACAGGACAAATAAATGAATGAATCCGAACCCGGGCCCGAGTTCGCTGACTAATCGCCGCCAGAGGTGTCCATGCCCTCCAGTCTATAATGAAAATTTATATATACCCCCCACACTTGCATATATATAGCTTATATAGACTGGCGGAGAAATGAGGACGTTACAATTTCGCCCCGTCTATAAAAACAACAAACAAACAAGCAACTTCAGGCCGAGGCCAACAACAAACAGTCGAAATTGTGAAGGCAAATAAACCGAATTGCAGGCAGGAATGAAGATGGTGGCCTGCCCGACAAAAGAAGGAGAAAGAGGGCCAACAACCTGCGATGGTGGCTTGTGGAAAAATTGCGTTGCGTATACGCAGCGTTGCAATTGGAATTTGATTTTCGAAGCAGCACGCCGCCCCGTCGACAGCGGCACAATATTTGCTCGCCAAGTACAATACAAAAAGCCGGAACGGAATGGAAGGGGATTGGGATTGGGATGGGAAAAGTGGTAAGTGGAGTCTGCATGTTGTTGCCAATTCCCTGCCAAAAAGGTTTTTGGGTTCCACAAAAATTCGTCATGGAAAATAAGGGGGATTTTATTATCTATGGGTTAAGAAATTTAGATATTAAAATCCTTTGCCGAAAACCAGCAGAAATCAATTTGATTCGGTTGGTAATGTTTAGGGATTGAAAGAGAAAAACGCACAAGAAAGATGTTTAATGAATAGGGGTGGCTTCTGCTTATAAGGCATCTTTGAAATTGATTTCTTAATCCAACTTCTTATAGAGTATCCCAAATGCTGTCTGGCATTTACTTTTCCTGTTGCCTTACAAAACCACGAGGGTAAACTTAATTTTCGCCGGGAGTTTTCATTTGTGCAAAAGCCGCGATTTTTGATGGAATTTTACATGTGAACGCGTATTTCTATGCGCCAACGGCTGGCTGAATTTAAATAGAGATCTTTAAGATCTTAAATTGCAAATGGAAATTCAACTTTTTCGGTTAGCTTTGCTTGGTAACTGCTGCTGTTCGGTTGCTCTATTTGCTGACGATTGACAAATGAAAAATGGCGGCTAAAGGCTTTTTATGCTTGTGCAAATTTCACATTTACAGTTATTGCTAATTGGAGGCTCATGCGGCCACATTGGGTGGCCAGTACAACCCAACCGTCCAATTGTCCAATTGTCCCACCGTCCAACAGTCCGGGCCAAGTAAATAATGGACGTTAATGTTGTTGGCACTGGCCATTTAATGTTTAATATCGGGATGTGTGTGTTTGTTGTGCGTTGCCCGCCTGTGCACACACTTTAAAGTGCATTCCGATAAATGAATTATTATAAAATTTATTTAACAGATTTGGAAGATATTTATGTAATTAATTTTAAAAATTATTACAAATGCAAATATCAGCCGCAGTCAATCCAAACAATGCAGCGGCCGAAACAGAAGCAATCAATACGCGCGATCAACCGTTATATGAGGCATTAAGCCGCCTCAATGACTTTTGGCAACAAAATGAATCAACATTTTGGTCAGAGCCAACAAAAACAGGTCTGCGGCATGACCGATTGTTAAATTAAAGGCTTTTAAGTATCCGGCAATCGAGGATTATCACCAGTACATATGTATTGCGAAATATAATTGCATGCAATCATCCTTGTTTGCCATTTATGTATATATAGGAAAAGTACGAACTTTACCTTTAACCTAATAACTTTGATAAACTAAGAAGGAAATATAATAGATTTAAAACTAAATGGAAACCCCTGCTGTATGTGACTTTGAAAACGTGCAACATCCTAATTTTTTTTACCAAAACTATCAGTATTTTGTAAAAAGATAGATCTCCGATATTTAATTTTGTTCAAGTATTGTAACAAATATATATCTTTTTTTTATTACTTTAGAAAGAATAATATATTTTATTAAATTCTAACTTATTGTTAATGAACCGAATTTTATAAAATTTTCAATTAAACATTTTCTTTAGATTCTTTTTTCCGACTCTCCATTTTCTTGGCTTAAGGCAAGAGTTTCAATTTCAAAATATTTACCTCTCAATCAGCCCGCTTCTACACTTGGCCCCAATTAGGTGACCAACTTAATGGCCACCTCATTAGCCATGCCGAGGAGCACTTGGCCAAGGCCCTTTATCTTCATCCCGCCTCCGCCATCGGAGCTGAATGTTGAATGCCAAAGCGCCGACGACGCCTCTTTGGCGGCACTTGGACTGAATGGAGGCGATTTGCATACAGCATCCGCTACTGTATTTTGAATGGATGGGAATGGGAATGATGTTACAGACGTGGACGTGAGGTGATCTTCTGCCCCTTTTTTAGGAACGAACGGAAGCCGAATGGATTTCATAATAATGACGGGCAAATTGGGGAATTTTTCTTACGGAGAAGTGAGATTTGTCATACGGCCGGATGTGTTTTGTGTGGATCATGACAATGTCATGCCCATCGGGGTCTGTTATGTTACGTTATATTGAGGCTGAGGCTGTGAGGCTGACAGGTTGGCTGGCAGAATACTTACTACCTGGTTTTGGTACTACCGATAAAGGCCATTGTTGGGCTAAATGTGCGGAAGCAGCCGTTTTCTTTAGGCCTTTTTGCTTACCTTACCTTAGGTTACCTTACATTGCCTCCGCATTGTTAGCGATCTTTCGAGGGGGTGTGCAAACATTTGACGTGTGTTTTGACGCGAGTCAAGATATGGCCAAGATCGTTACAAAATTGTTTCGATTCTGGGGCCTGTGCAAACACACACACCATTCGTAGTATTGATAGGCTTGAAATTGGAACGAATGCCAGACCGTGTTGACCTAACGCGACAATGTTATTTTTGTGTTATTATTATTTCCCTTTTTTTTATTTCCCTCATTTCTGGCCGTTTGTATTTTTCCCATTTATTTGGAATTTTTCGCTGGATCTCACAATGCAGCAACTGTGCAAATAGCAGGCGACAACGCCAAAGACAGTGAGACGACAACTCCGACAGCGATAATGAAAGCTGTTTGGAAAGTTAGAAACATGATGAACCGAACCGCCAGACAGGCGACAGCATCGCCGGAGAATATCAAGATCGAACTACTCTAATCGGGGGTATTGGCAAATTTTCATTCGGGATTAATCTGAGTAATAAATGTAAAATTATTTTACTTCTTTCCTACAAAGGCTTTCTTAAGACTAACAATTTTTTAGATATTTTTACTCCATTTAATAATATTTAATACATTAAAATTGACTTAAGTCCTATCTCAAGATCTTTCTTAAAAGCATAAAACCCCGTTTTGTTTTTATTTTAATTTTAAGGTTATTTTTAAAAATGATTAGAATATTATTCTTAGCTTGGTGAAGTGTTAAAATATTATTTAATAAATAAAGAAAATTAGTCCGAGGGTGACTGAACTCCTACACTTAGAGCATTGAATCTTCCCCCAAATATTTGATGAAAATTTCGCCTTTCTGTTTCTTCATTTCTATTCAATTTGAAGGCGTTCTATTTGCCTAGCTGAAACAGAGATACTTATTTTTCATTTAGCACTCTTTCAATACAATATTTGAACAAGCCGCACAGTTGTTTCTGAACGTGGGGGACAATAGAATTGAATTTAGCATTATCTTCCGAAATGGTGATAAGGCTCCTAATGATGCGTCGTTTCTTTTAATTATTCATGCTGTGAGCTGAGCTGAGCTGCTAAGTTCGGGATGGGATGGGGGTTATACGCTCGTACATAGGATGGATCGACCCCAAATGACCTTCGGACTTGATGGAGGTTGTTTTTGTGGCGTGTGAAAGTCGCTTTCTTCTACGAAATCAACCATGGCAGTGCAGACAAATTGGCTACAAATGAGGGGCACACAGGACACAGGACGACCAACAAACAGATAACGCCCCTATCCAGGGTCCTGTTTAGCACAGGCACAAAAGGACCCGGCCAGGCCAGGACGAGACAATCAACTACCGGGTAATTAGAGTTGAATGCGAGAGTCAAAAAGTCGTGTAATGCGATTTGTATGGCCCAGCGGGATATCCCAACAGGATAACAGTCTATTGCATCAAGACACATTGCACGGCCCATTAAGGGAGGGGAGGGGAGGGGAGGGGATCCTGGTCCCAAACACATTTGCCAAAAAGGTGAAATTTATGAACCAAAATGGCACAACAATGACTGATTCGTTTTGGTTTTCTATCTTCCTGGCACCTCATTTCCTTTGGCTTAGCTAAATATTTATAAATTGTTGAAGCCCAATGACAGTTTTTTGTGCCTCCTTCGTTTTTTATTGTAATCGTGACAGATTTTTCAGCAGATGCTCATGGTCCTGTTTCCCCTGCCTCCTTCTGATTTAGATTCTGCCGACGACATCCTGCGGCTATTTGCTGCTGCACTTGTCACGGCCTCTCTGGCCGCTTGTCGTCTTAGGGCTGCCCTCAAATTGTGTTAGGGTTAGGTTAGGCCTAGCCCTGGATTTCCGCTGCAGGCCAGAGACCATCTGACCATCGGGTTACAGCTTCTGCTCCTGCTTCTGCTGGCTGGCTGCTCTTCGTCCTGGCCACGCTTATTATGGCCGCGGGCACTGGTTCCTTTGCCGGCGCCTCTTCTCCTCTGTTTGCCCAAATGCTTGACTGCCGCTGCAGCAGCTCTGCAGAGAGAGAAAATTCGGTATTATTTCAGGGAAGGATTGTCAATTTTTATTCAAATATAAAAGAAGAAGATACATTTCATCTCTTATTGATTTTCTCAAATTAGTAAAATGTATACTTTGAATTATCCATATTTAAAGATTTTTTGCTTTTAACTGAGATTATTTATCTTATTTTAAAAGTAAAAATATTTTGATAAATATATTCAAAAAATTACCAAATAAGAACTTGTAAATGGCTTTAAGTGGTAATACAATTTTATGTATTTAAATATTTTTTACAATGATCTTAAAGATTAACAAATTGTATTATTTAAAGCTCTAGAACTAATAAATATTTAACTTACACAACTTCCGTTCATTCATAATATTTAGCCTCTTCTTTAAAATCAAGAATTTTGAAACTGTTTAGTTGGTTGATTTTGCAAATTCTTCCAAGGATCATGTGTTGAACAGTAAAATTATGAAACTGTATGGATTATAATTTTTCTCCAAGTGTCGGGGGCTCTACTACTTTCCAGTGCTAAACATCGGCACAATATCCGTCGTACGTTGTGCAAACAGAGCTCCTGCTCCTGCTCCTCCTCCTCTTTCTCCTTCCCCTCCTCCTGGTCCTGCTCCTCTTGCTGCTGCTCCTGCGTCCTGTCGCTGCCATCTTTGTGCTGATGATGTTTGCTTAGCTGTCTTTGCATCTTTTTGCCGAGCAGCGAAGGACCGAGGAGGACCCTAGCAGCCATCCAACCATCCAGCAGCTCTAAAACGGAAATGATGGCGGCTGCAGGAACATCAGCGACCGCTGCAGAAAGCTGTATTTGCCCTCCTGCCCTGCTCCTCCCCGCTCGCCAGACAATGCAGGACAATGAAATGAATTTTTAAGAACACCCTGCCCTATATGCGTTGCCACTTCAAAGTCATTCGCCAGGCAGCATCTTCAGCATCCCGATGCAGTTTTGAGTTGCTTCTGCCTTTGCCTTTGCTGGGATATGCAGTTTGCAGTTGGCAGTTTTCAGTTTTCTGGGCTCGGAAAAAAAGGGAGGCTGCGTTCTGTTTGCATTTGCATGCAGGTGCAGTTGCAGTTTGCCGTTGCCGTTGCCCCTCCTTTTTTTTTTTTGGGCCCGTAAATTTGTCAGTCGACCGTCGGAGGATGCTGGCTGCTTTGCTATTTGCCAACCGTTTCGTGTGTGCATGTCAAATTCAAACGTTTGCATATTTTGCAAGATTGTCGGGCACAATTAACCGGCATCAGCGGCGTTGACAAAAAATTATAATTTTCTGTGCTAATGAACGGCGGGCCACGACTACTACGCAACTCGGCCAGAAAACGGGGCAATTGCACTTGAAAACGGAATGTTAATCAGGCGATAATCTTGTTGTCGATGTGATAATAAAGAGCTGTGCAAATTACAACCCAAAGTGGGGAAAAATGGGGGCAGATTCTTGAAAAGGTTTAAGGTAAGGCTTTATTTTATATTCGTAGTAGTCAAAAACATATGTATATTACAATTAACCTTGAACTAAAAACCATTTTCTTCAAATGTTTTAAAATGCCTTCGTACAAAAGATTAACTGTAACGTAAATTAACTGTAACTTTTAAATGCAAATAAAAATATTTAAAAAATGAATAATCATATAATTAAATATATTTAAAATGAAAATTTTTATTGTATTGTTTAATGATACATTTATAAAACAAAAAACATTTTTTAATATTAACAATATTTTTTATGTCCCGAAAAAACTGACAAACGAAAATACATCGTTTGTAACTACATCATTTCAAGTACTTTTTGATGCCTTTTTTGAATTGATCTCTCTTACTCAATATCTTGTACCTAATCTTAGGCATATATACACTTCTAAATTGATTTACTGAATAGTTTGCTATATGTATAACATGTGTACTTTAAATGACATTGGAAAGCAAACTAATTGGCTTGGCAAACAATAATTTCCACAACGGGGCCGATAATAGAGCAATAACATCTAATTGAATTCAAATACAAACGAGACAAAGTCGTGCCTATAGAGAGTATACTAATTTCCACAAATATAAATAATGTCACCGGCTGACTGGTGCTTAATTATCATGAATATGCGTACATTATTTGAGTGCTGTGTTTAGCTATACGTTAGATATGTTAGAATTTATTTTAAAAAATCTTAAAGCCCTTAATTGGTAATTAATTTTCAGTAAGTAAATAATTTATAAGCTTCTGATAATCAGACTTTTATGGCATCTTATCTGTTATCTCCGCCCCTATATCATTATGATCTCTGGGTCAGACACACCGTGGAGATATTGTTTACCAAATATTATCTGCAAAGGCCAAAGAACTTTTTTCCTGGCCCGTAAAGGTGTCACGACAATTGAGTTTTATTCGGTAAATGATGCAATTGAAGGGATAATTTTATTTATTTTCATTTTGTGTATACTTTGGTGCTTTTTTCAATATTTTTTTTGCCTTGCTTTATGCCACACTTGCTCGCTAATTAATCCTTACGCCGGGAAAGGCAAACAGGGCGCATGGCTGATGCGTGGATGCCTGGAAGAGAGCGCAGTCAAATATGCACAAATACGAGCATAAAAAGCTGACGACTCTTTGGCTCGCCTGCCTGGCTTTTCCGAGTGGGTGGGTGGAAAATGGTGGGTTTGGTGGCTCAGCGAGCGACTTGCTATGTACATATTTGTGCAGTTATGTTCACATTTGTACTGATCATAATGTACACACACACGGACACATGGAGCGAAAGAGAGCGAGCATCCTGGCACACATACACTAACTATATGTGTATATAGATTTCAGTCAAACACTCGAGCAAGCACAGACAAATTCTATTTGCAAACATTTCACTTGATTTGCAAGCGAGTAGCAGCCGCCCCTCAAAACCCCTCCCCCCCCCACACACACACACTCCAAGCCAGACTCCTGTAAGTGTGTGCCTGTGTTTGTGAGCACACACATGTTGTGTGTGAGTGGGTGTGCGGATGTGAACGCTCCAACCAACGTATTTTTTAGCAGCACCTCCACTGAAAATAAAATAAGTTAAACCATTTCTAAGCTAGATTTATCTACCAAAAAATTAATAAAAAATTTATTATAATAAATAGCCAAATAAGGAATATTTTTTTAAAACTTTTTTCCAATGATAATTGTACAAAATATTTGTTTTAAGTTTATCAATTATATTTATTTTTAAATGTTGGCTAACTAAATAATTGTATTTTCTTAGACATTTAATGTAATTTTAAAGCAAATATCAAAACAATTTTTTTGTTGCATACTTTTTGAATACCAAACATTTCACCCATATCACCTCACTTGGATCCGCGCATGGTTCTGATAAAATGTTGCTTAACTTTCTTCAACCTTTGGGTATTTAACTAATAGAGATTCTCTAACTCTATAGAGATGCAATTAATATTTGTATAAATCTCAGCGAATGTCTAACCAGAACTTAAGATATTTTTTTCACCGTGCAGCAGCAGCTCCGTTGACATTCGTGCAGGAGACATCCACTTCCACATCCACAGCCGAATGCCGACTGCGACTCTGACTGTCGACTGGGTGTCAAGGACGTGGCATGGAGCACCGGCAGGACCAAGGGACTCAGAGGGAAGGGGGACAAACAGGGGAAGGCGCAGGGGCAGGGAAAGGGACTGGAGCCAAATGCTGAGCGCCAGCCATGATGAGTACGATGAGCGCCAAAGTTGCACTCGACAAATCGAAATTGTGTGCTCTGGAAAAATATTGGCACAAGAAATCATTCCTTCCTGTTGTTGGTGTCGTTGCCAGTCGTCCCCGGGTTCCTCGCTTTCCTGGGCTGCCTGGGATCCTCCCGGAACTCGGCTGTTGACATGATTGGGCGGGCTTTCATTTGCCAACTTGTCGCAAAATGTTTTAATATTTTCAAGTTGCATTTAATCCCCGAACGGGCGCTGAGCCACGTGAATCGTGTAAACAAAAGCACGCGCTCAAGTTTTGCTATTATTTCTCCTCGATTTTTTACTCATCATGGGTTTGCGCTATAGTTTATTATCCTTTAGGCTTAGAGTTTTCAGAGTTTTGGGCTAGACCAATGGCAAATTAAAAATGTGCCAGGCACGCGTCCTGCAATCCAGCAATCCTGTCGGGAATTGTGGAGAGTAGAGTGTGGGTGGGTTACTTTTGCTTACTTTCTGCCGATGTGATGTCTTCGGTGCTCTGTGTGTTTGTTTGCACGCTCATTTGTTTGTATGTTTGAACTTTCTCCTGTTTCGTTTGCATTTGTAAATATTCCTCTGGAGCTTTTTCCAACTGGAGCTGCAAATGTGCACCAAGTGGTTCCTTCAGCCACCCACTCTATACGTATATCATCAGATGGCTTAACAATTTTTGCACAATTTGCAGGCGTCCTCCAGAAGGCGAGAGCGAGAGGTCGTCTGTTGTTCGGGGCGTGTCTGGTTAGTGGAATCGAACAAATATGTTTACATTTAGCACATGTGCAATTATTTGATTAAAACTGTTAAAAGCACACAAAATCAGGCAAAAGTTTACCAACACCCGTGGAACGAGAAAGTCGAGGAGGGGTTGGCTTTTTTTGGGGGGAACATGGAGAAAAGTAGAGACAGCAGGGCGCGCAAATGGAGCAATATCCCAAAAACCCAAACCGAACTCAGCTTTTCCATCTCATGGGATGACGATGATGATGATGATGGTGAGGCGGAGCCGCCTTGTCACTCAGTTTGTGATGCAAACTGGGCGTGTAAACAGAAAGAGACAGCCGCACTCACCGCCCACACACGTACGTTCGAAAGAGAAAGAGAGAGAGAGAGAGACAGACGGAGGGACCTCTACCTAATGCGAAATGAAAACAAATTAAAATCAAACTTTCGAATTACTTCGAGTCTCGCATTTCAATGTAAATTTAACCAACAACAAGGGCCGCGCCGGAGCATCGAAGGACGGTCGGACGGACAAACTGACGGACAAACATACGGACAATCGAGTTGGGTCGAGTCGAAACGAAAGCTGTTGATGGGTTAGTCAAGTCGGGAACAGCATAAATTACGGAGGACCGGCTAAAACTTATCGGTGGGTAACTAAAGCGATTGCAGTTTCCAGAAGTTGGTGCGAAATGAACGTAGGAGTATTTGGGAACAGGCAACTTAAAAGTGATGTAAGCAAATCTTGAATTTTCCTTTGGAACGTGATGGTAATCCAAGTGAGTTAGTTGAAGTGAAATATTTTCTACACATTAAAGATAAAGTTAAGTTATAAAGTATACGAGTATTTATATTGCCTATCCAATTATTTCTATAAAAAGAAACTTAATGGACTAATTGGTAATTGGTTATTATCGTAGTAAACACCCCAAAATCACTTATATTTGGGGTCTAACAGAAGTTTCCTCCAGCTGAAGATATTTCTATGTCACAATAAAGACCTTAATTTATTTAAATCAAACTCGAAGCCAAAAAATATTAATATTTAATATTCAATAATTTAATAATTTATAATTATAATAATAATATTATTAGTTAGAATAATATTTAAAATAAATAAAATCTTAAGAAATTAATTTTTTCAAAGCTTTAATTATTTTTGAAATATTTTATTAGTGGATAAATACATAAATTGGTAAAAGTCTATTTCTAGACCAGAGAGATTGAATATTTAATCAATCTATTTGATTTCCAGTCGATTGCAAAAT